CTAGGTTTCTCTTTTGTGTTACTTCCAGTTGATTGTTTGCATGAGATACCTCATGTAATAAATATATATATATATATATATAATAATGCATATCTCCTAGGCTAAACCTCTATGAAGCATCAGCTTTTGTGCTACCTTTTCACCAGTAGTGATTTCTTCTAAGACGTCGTTGGTAGCCTCTGGAGCTGCATTTAGTCCATGATTGAAGTCGAACAGTAGGAGGTATCGGAGGTGTTCGTTCTCGTCGAATTAGAGGGCTGCTTTCCATGCGACAGAAAATAAGGAACAGCCGGCATTGAGGAAAGCCGTCATAATACTGGTAAAGAGCAAATCGAGAGCTACAAAACGCTCATGACACACAGTCGAACGATGATCAAATCCCCAGTAAAAAACAAGATTAAGAAAAGCGCACGAACTTATTGCCCAACCCAATATATACATAGAGGGATGATTATGGTTTGATGAGTGTCAATAAGTCAATAATTTAGCGCAAAATAGTGGTCATATTCGTATTCAGTGCAATGAGGAACCTCAGTATACATACATACTTATCACCACCCTTGAGCAAAGTGGAAAAATCAATACGGTGAATAAATCGATGGGTTTGCGCAAAATGGTTATCATATTCGGGTCCAGCGTATTGAGATACCCCAGTAGACATGTCTCGCCGCCCCATGGGCAAGAATAGCGAAAATTCAGTAAAATCGATATAATCGATAAACCAATCGATATTTTCTGGCGGAATGTAGGCTAAAAACTCAGCCGGATATGTGTGCAAAGTTCCCGATCGGTTAACTTACTCCGCAATTTCTATAAGGAGCATAAATACACACACACAAGCACAAACAGGCACAGACATTCTACTCTATATATACCGATGTAATAGTCAATGCACTATGCTTCATCTGGATAAAGCATCTTGTTAGTCCTTGTCTCCTATAGGGAAAACAAGAGCAAATTTTGGTCTAATAACTATCACTGAGAATAATGGAGTCTGCAACAATGAAACTGCTACCTCTTAATCCCACTAAACTCTATTTAAGGAATTCACATTCAACGAACCATAGCTCATAAATTACCCTTTTCCTATTTTTTATTACATGGACGTTCCGCAGTGTAGCGGTTAGTATTCGGGACTCTGGATCCTGCGACGGGTGTTCGAATCTCGCCAGAACCTCCATGTAATGAAAAGTACGAAAAGGGTAATTTATGTATTTGAGTTATTGCTCCTTAAATGTGAATTCCTTAAGTAGAGTTTGGTGGAATTTAGTGGTAACGGTTTTATTTTCCAGACTATTATTCT